TTCATTGATGTCAATTTTAGTTGGGTATTAATTCCTTATCTTAATTCCAAAATAATGTAAAACTATAAAGCAAAAATTAATCAAAACAGTTAAATGTACAAAATTCAACCATAACTGAAATTCAAGATTCTCAAATGTTCACATGGACTCTGAAAGAAAATCTCTGGTTTGAATTATACATAATGGTGCATCAATAGCTTGATCAGATAGATCCTTTTTGGAAGCTAAGGGGCAAAGTCCAGGCTCTTCAATAGCAAAAAAGTCCTTTTGGTCCAAGGGAAAGTTTCCTTGGTTTTAAATTGGTCATCAGGGCATTAATTTTTCCATTCAGTTGTCATTGTTCAGAGGTACATTCATCACGTTCAGTTATGCTGGTACAGGCCTCAATCATGGTTCATTAGGTCTTATATTGGCTGTTAAGTTACTTAAATTGGGTTTAATTCCTAAAACTAATCAAATTAAGAATCCTTGTCAAATCTAATTAGGATAAAGTAATATGCCAATTTCTAACTCTGTGTATTTCCACAATGAGTAGAGTTAAAATGAATAAAAATTTGGGCTATCAAAGAGTTAGTCATACTTGAGTACTTTAAAGTTAATGCTCACATCAAAGTAACCAGTAACCACAGCATCGGAACTAGTTTCTTCTTTCCTTCTCCTTATAAAATCTCCTTTCATTTCTATTTCAAACCCTAAACGGTCAAAACTTTTAGACAAATCCGCACAAGCTAAACCGTTTGAATACAGCAACTCAACCCTAACACCATCTGGCTCAGAATTCTCATTCCACGATCAAATCAGTTCAATATATGATTTTTATCTCTAAACTTACATCCCTATTCCAAATCATAACAAGTTCTAGCCCACATTAGGATACTAATGGTTTCAAAATATCCCAAGAAGTCCAAGTAGCTTTTACTCGTATATCCTTAATCCTTATTTATCAGAACCAAATCCCAATCAGGATACCTCACATCTACATAAAAGAACAAAAGCTTCATTCATACCCGAATAATATGCAAAGTTAAGGCATTAAATACAATTCATTCATACATGTGCCCAAATTTTAGGAAACATAGAAAAGCAAACTAGTAGATGTAATTAAAGCAAACAATTACCTTTTTTGGCTTCTTCTATAAGTTTATCATCTTGGGGAAGAAAAATCATCCCAACACCAGTGTGCAACTTATCAAAGGATGCAATCCCTTGATTTTCGGCCCAGTTATCAAACAGATCCCAAGGGATTGAAGTCATCACTCCTGAACCATCACCAGAATCATTATCTGCTCCACAACCCCCACGATGCTCCATGCAACCAAGAGCTGTAAGAGCATCCTTAACAATTCCATGTGATGCTTTATTTTCCAAATTGGCAATGAATCCAACTCCACAAGCTCCTCTTTCTGATATTATATCCTCCAAATTTGCAACCTATATAAAATTCAGATCATAATGAGAATAAGTAAATGCATGAAACAGCTTATTTATGATCACACAAATGAAGAAAGTGTAAAGAAATGCTAAGTCGACAACAATTTTCAATAAAAACATCAAATACGTGTGTTAGAAGTCAAGTGAATTCCTGTTTCTATTATTCCCACTGAGTCCTAGAAAACAAAAAGTTTTCCTTACCACCATGAAGCAAAACCAAGAGAAAAGAAACAGAAAATCAATACTAAGTAAAAGAGATTCTAAACAAATAAATTTCAAATCAAAGGGATCATGAATTTCTTCATGAAGCAATGAGGGGAGAAGATAACAACTCTATGATAGTATGACCATCATATCTCGTGAGGCAATATGGGGCGAGGGGGATGCAGCATCACTCTTTGACCCTCATACCTTAATTATACATATCATAGGATGAACCAAACTTAAACATGCTCCCTAGATACTCAAAAAGCCTAGTAATTTCACCCTATGACACGGAAACCTATGGGTTACACCAACATAAGCAATAAGTAGCAGTTAAGGATCCAATACTCCTCTTACGTTATAGGAAGCTTTGTCAGTATTCAGTTAATGAATGTTTGGACATTATATTGAACATTGAAAGATGAAGAAAACGTTAGATGGGAAACATTAATGCTCATTGTTTTATCATGTCTCCATCTGAGGCACAGTAGAATGCCTACAAGAAATAAACCTTGAAAAAGAAAAAGGAAATAAAGAAAATTTTCGAAATGGAAATAAGTAAATCAAAGTTTATAAATACAAAGAATTGATGATAATTCGTATCACAAGAAACCAAGAACTTAATGCATCCTAATACTAATAGGCCTCAATGCTCTGCAAACATTGCACTACCTAAATCTACCACCAAGTTGCAATCACTAGTAACTCTGAACTTGGCAAAACCTAATAAATTCTTGACCAAAAGGAAAGAAGAAATCAACAAAGAAAAGCCGAGAACCATGATAGGCAGAACCATGACCTTCTAGCTAATAGTCATTGTAGCTACCGAAACTTGAGCCTTTCAAATTTTAAACATTTAGCAAGCATCATATGATTATTACACCAAAACTTTCTTGTGTTGCTTATTCTATGAAATTACGTGAATTTTACACAACAATAAATAAATAATATTAAAAGAAAAACGAAAAACTTGGTTTTTCTAAACATAATTTCTGGATTCCAAAACCCAAATTTGATTTAATTTGATTTAAATTGTCATTAATAATAAGCGGTTTTAATTGTTACTTTTACTACTTACTTTAAAGAAAAAAAACCATCCAGTAATTCGTATGAGAGTACATTATAATTTTTTTTTCTATTCAGAAAAGGTGAAAACATTTTTAAATTTGAATTATTGAAAAGAATAAAAACGAAAGGCGCATTTGGTTCATCCGTAGCCAACCAGTAGTTGCCTTTTGTTTTGTTGTAAATAAACAAGTGAGTCATTGGATTGAAAAAAGTGAAAACCAATCGTGGCCCTCGTCACTATTATATTTTAAGTAATATAGTAGAAATATATGGCTGATTGAGAGTGGAAACTCCACCTTAGGTTGAGGAGCGGATGATCGATGATCAGATGCATAAGAAGCAGTAGTAGTACTAGTAGTAGCTTTAAGATCAAGAACGGCTCTAACAGAATCGTTGGCGGCAGTAGAAAAGCGGCGCGTAGTACGAGTACTGGCGGAGAGGGCGAGTCTCCGCCTAGTAGTAGGCTTGGATTTACAATACAAACCGACGAAGTCGACGAGCAGCAATCGATTGTCAGAGGAAAAGAGTGGGGTTGGCTTGGAAGAAGAGAGATGAGGAATGGGAGATAGAGATTGGAGAATAGCCATAACTGGGAGAGAGAGAAGAGAATTAATTTTTGTGGGTGAGGACTGATGGGGGGAAAAGAAATGTGGATTTGGAGAAGATAAAAGAAAATATGAGAGAGGACCGGAGCCACCCGCCTCTCCTGGAATTTGGTTCCGTTTTTATTTTTATTTTATATTTTCTTCATTTTCTTTTTCTATTTTTTTAAAGTTTGATTTTCTTTTTGCTTACGTCATGCCATTCAGACCTTTGGTGCTTATCCCGTTTGCTCAGTGGTGCCTAACATTACTAATCTCATATTGTTAGTCAGGAATCACCGCTCACTGGTGCCTTATATTTACTCAGATCGCTTCGGATAGATAATTAGATTGATTTTACTGAGATTAAAGGAGGAGATTAAATTAATCATTATAATAATAAAATTAGATAGTATAATATTGAGATTAAAATTAATAATGTTATATATGTTTAGATATTTAAATATGTAAATATTTTAATAAGTTATTTTAATATATATGTTATATTTTATTTGATAGTTTCAATGTATAAAAAAAATATTCAATAAAAAATATTAACACATTTTTTAGTATTTGAATTTAATAAATGTAAGGGTAATATAGTAAATTAAAAATCAAGATATAAAAATATAATTGTCCAATTTGAAACTCAGTGTGCCACCACACCCCTTCCCCTTAATCACAATTTAAAAACCATTCCTAGCCCTAATGACATCCAAATGGAATCTCACTTTTTAGTGAATTCATCTGTGTTACAAAAGGTGTATTTGGATGGATAATAAAACAAAATCTGATGAAGTTGAAAATAATAATATATAATATTTATTATTATAATAATGAGATTAAAATTAATAAAAAAAATTTTGTGTTGATGTAAAAATAACGATAAGATTAATTATAATGAAAAAAGAAAATAACTATTAAGGGTATTAAAATAAAAAATTATATTTAATAAAAATTTTAAATGATTTAAATTTTATAAAATTATTAAATTAAATTATTTTAAATAACAGTTTTATTAATTAATAATTAAAAATAATAAAAATAAAATAAATTTTATTTATTTATTAGTTTCTTATATAATAATATTTATTTATTAATACATTATATAATAATAAAAAAATAGAGATGAAGGCAATTTTGCATTAACATTAAAATTTTGGGGGCAAAATGAAAAAAAATAAAAGCTCTGGTGAGGTTGGTGACTGGGTCCATTTGGGTCCGGTGGTCAATCACCACCGATCTCATTGCGCCGGAGACCCGTTTGAGTCTTCACTAATCAATGGGCACAGATTTGAATGTAAAAATTATAAGATTATATTAAAAAGAATTGTAAATGAAATTCACCCATTCAATTCTTTATAAATACTTAATATCTTTGGTCCCAAAAATTAAATCCAACACAAATGGTAGGAATCCTAGGAAATTTTCTCTACTTCTAATAGATAAAAGAATAATTGGAAAGAAGATATACAAAAAAAAAAAATGTTTATACTGGGAAACTTGCTTGAACTTTTCCTGGCTACAATGTATTCCACATGTTCACCGAAAAACCGACATTCCAGTCGTAAATGAATTCAACGGATGAATGAAAACTTGGAAAAATAATTCAAACACTGCTAATTGGTGCTTTTCAATTGCATGACATGATGATATTGATAACAATGGGGCATAACTTAAACTTAGAGTTATCTCCATCTATAGACTCATTGAAGACTATATATGTCCCCTCTTCAAAGCTGAAACTTGCCAAGTATCTTCAGCAAAAACTTTAAATATGAAGTCACGAAATCGCTTGGAGTACTGCTTTGGATCCACAGCTGATATTGAAGTAGGGTCATAATGGATGGATTTATAAGCATGCTCAAGCTTCTTGGTAATGTCATAATCTTGAAGTATGTCAATGATGCCAAAGAACATTACAACTTCGTAACACTCCCCTGTTTGTTCTCCCACAAGCTGTAATTCAAACTCTGGTTTCCTTATAGTTCTTTCTACTCTCGCTGGCATGTTAGCACCCAGCTTGATGCTAGCCCACCTGCAACGTTCATTTGGTTCATCTCGTTTCCTTAAAGTACTTTTTTTTGTATCTTGTGAAAGATGTTTTGCTTGTTAGAATCAAGGACATGCAAATAGAGAGATGAACTGTATACTATGGATGGACCTAGTTAACTAGTGAGATTGAAATAAAAGAACTAATTTGAATATATATATATATATGGAGACATGTATTTCACCTCTTAGGGTCTAGAAGGAGCTGATCCACATCTGTTCTAGAAAGACGAGGGCCTGATTCATCCTCAGAATTGCCTGAAACAGAGAAAACAAAACTTGTTAATTAAAAAAAAAAAAGAGAGAGTATATATGCACTTAAATTAATCTTAAGAAATTAAGGTTATTTGAGTAGATAAAAATCTTAAGATGAAAGATAACCGGATGTAGTATGTCTTTCACAAGGAATCAGCTCTCCATTAGTTGATATTTCTCTAAAATGAAGACCCACCAAAAGACTATAGTCCATGGTTCTCTCTTGTTCAAGAAACTCACAATCCCTGTCTATTTGCCTGTGAGGAGAATTCAAACATATATAAATATTCAATGTAGTTGATGAAGAAGGATTAAAGGAAAATAAAAAAAGTGAAAGGATTTTGAAGCAAAATTAGAAAAACAAAAAATATATATATAGAAACTTACTAGCAAAACTAAGTGTTATATATTCATGGTTACTAAACATGCTTAATTAGTTACTTTAATGTCAAACTAGTAGAATAAAGCATCTAGAAATTAAGCAAAATAAAAGAGAAGCTGTATTTCACCTAGAAAACTCTTGAAACCAAGCTTTTTGAAGTTTGAATATGAAATTTAGATCAAGATCTTTAAGTATAGTAGTATCATCGATCTCGGACTCAGGCTTCTCTGTTATGCGTCCTAAAGAAGATCCTTTCAAGTCAAAGCGCCTATGAACTGTATACTCGGAACGTAGGAGGTTTCCCATAATAACGAATCGCACCTGGATTGTCAAGCTAATCATTTGCATCCAATATCTTTTTTGACAAATTTTTGGAAAAAAAAATTGGATTGTGTGATGATATTGTTGTTTGCTAATTACCTTTTTTTGAGTTGGCCCAGTTAACTTAACGCAATGCAAGCCGTAATATTTTATCACCAAAGTGTTCTCAAAGGATCGAACATGGTGATAATAGGCTGAAAGCATCCTTAAAAGCACCTATAGAACAAATCAAAAGCAGTTATTAACCTACATTAGCAACAATCGACATTTGCTTTCAAACTATAATAGTTTATAGGTAAGAAGGTACAGAACTCACTTTCACTTCTGACTTCTTCATTGTCTTTATCATGTATCGATCATCATCGGTCAAGTAAAAGAAGCTACCACTTTTACCTGGGGAAGATAGTTCCCTAAGTGCATCATTCCCACAAATAGATATCATGTAATCTGCAGGGTCTACCTTGAACAGCTTCCTCAAAGTCCTTTAGACAAATGATAATGTGCAGCAGTTAATTACTTAATTAGCATGCATGATCTAAAAATTCTTAGATTAGAATTTGCACATCTAGAGAATCAAGTGGCAGTTTAAAAAAAAAAGATCTGGCTTTATTATTTTCTTGTGAAATGTCATCATGATTACATAACTTTAAATAGTTTGATTTATTTCTTTAGCTTTAAAGAAAAGAGGATTCCTTATATTTTAAGGAAATTTTCTGTCTTTGGATAATCCCATGAAATAATCTTTTAAAAGTTATTTGCAAACTAAATATGCGTGAAACTATGATGTTGAAGTTCCATCAAGGGCATGTTGAAGTTCCATCAAGGGCCTGTTTGTGAAGATGGTATGAAATTATAACACCTTGCCACACTAAAAAAAATAGGAATCACGTATGGTAAAATGTCATGTTACCTGAAAACTACTGGACAGTAATCCTTCCATTTAAATTCACAAGATTGATGTGGTGGAGTGTATTTGCTGCCTTCTGGAGGAAATCTAGTCCAAATTTTCTCCTTGGGGTCAAAAGCTGAAGCCTTAAGATCAAGAGCTGTGGATGGAGCAGGTCTTCCTACAGAATGCCTGTGTAATCACTCCAAAAACTGGTAATAAGTAACAAACTCCACATCACACAGAGCATATAATTATCAGGTGATCCAGTTTTGAGAATTAGATAAAAGTTAGAAGGAAAAGTTTAACTTCATGAAAAATTTTAGTATAGCTTTTTTTAATTAGAATTAGTAAGTATTTATTTAACTATGTACTTAATGGTGTCTTCAATACAAAGTATAAAATGTTGCAAAACATAGTTCTTAATTCTATTCTTATGAATTTAATTTTGATTTTCATTAAACCAACAATAGTACACAATGTTGTTACAGAACCTTTTCAAAGAATAGAATTACATTATTGATAATGAAGTTGTTAAGAAATTATTTAAACATATATATATATATATATATATAATTCAAGATGAGAATACAAGTTAAAAGAAGCGTAGAATACTGAATATAGAGAATGTCACCTGATTCCCAATTGCAGATTGAGCATCAGTTCATAGTTCTTATGCCCTTTGGATATTGTTTCTCCCTGTCTTTTTCCTGGTTTTGGCGCTTTTAATGGCAATCCGAGATTAAACTTAGGGTTCGTATCATCATGATTTACACCGAACAACTGATCACAATCTAAATTTCTCCTCACTTCTCCTAAATCGTTGCCATAACCATCACTCTCCCACATGTTCATTTTATCAAATGGCCTCTCTATTCCTACGCTTACCCTCCCATCAACCGACATTCTCCGTGGCTTGTCCGCACCCTTCGTTGAATACCATGTTGCCAATCTCTTTTGGGATGGCATAATCGAAACCCTTTCTCCTGGGCAAATCTTGCAGTCAGCCAACTCGTTATACACGGTTTCAGGATCCCATTCAAGATTTGCAGCCAGGGAGGACTCTGAAGGGTAGTATGTCCCATTTTGTTCATCCGGATCCCTACTCCAATTCCCCACATAAAAACTTCCATCGGGCCATTGATAAGTTCCATTCCCTTTTGGCATACCATCTTCCCAATAGCCATCATACTTATTCCCATTACTCCATACAAAAGTCCCTTTTCCACAAATTACACCGTTCTTCCACTCTCCTACATAATGGTTCTCATTCTGCCATTGATATTTCCCATGTCCTTCTTGCAAACCGCGACGCCATTCTCCATCATACCAATCTCCATTTGAATAACGCTTTATACCATGACCATGTTTCAAATTCATTACCCATTTTCCCTTATAAGTATCCCCATCGGATCCAATATATATACCAGTCCCATCCATATATCCGCTTTTGAACTCCCCTTCATACGTAGCACCAGAGGGCCAACTAAACCTTCCTCGCCCCATAGTTTTGCCTTTATGCCACTCTCCTAAGTACATACACCCGTCGGTCCATAAATATTTCCCTTGTCCATTAGGAAAATTATCATACCATTGCCCGGTATAATAATCCCCATTTGGAAGAATTTTCTCTGCGAAGTATGCGTCCCCAAATAGGCTAACGCTTTTATCATTATTATCTTCGAGATCATCATCTGCTACATTTGCCATAGATATTGTCCCAAAAATGCTATTTGCACGCTTTTTTGCAGCTTGTGTTTTGCGCACGGTGGCCTCCCATGCCCTTAGAACACCACTTTGCTCTTTGTTCATTATGTGCAACTTGTTTTACGCGTTATAATTAACATACTATACGCTTATCATTCAAATCTGATTATGATTGTACGTAAGAAAATCATGACAACCTTGAAAGAAAAATGTCATATTTACGTGGTTCAAGGATGCAGTGAACTAATTATGTAAAAAATAAATAAATAAATAAAATGCAAAGAACTCTGTAATGAACAAATTGTATGAACCTTGCAATGTTTTTCTTCCTTTCTCTCTTGTTTCAACGAAGGGAACCGAAAAGAGTGTTTGAACCTAAGACTTCCATTTTCTTCTCAAATTTTTGTGTCAAATTCATTTTTCTTTTGAAAAATTTGTGGGAGTAAATGTTGTGGTCTGATCACTGAGAGTCACAAGTAGACCGTACAATTAGCATGCATGGGATTTGTGACAAATAAACTGATGAAGTGGCAATTGATCATCGCATTACTATGTTTAAAATCAGATTACGTGTTAAAATTCCCACATTAATCGTATTAAATGACAATATTTTGACTATGAGTTTTAGTTTCTTGCCTAAAGAAGGTTAGAGCGAGAAGCACAATTCTCTCCCATATTGTTTCTCTTTGTGATTCAAAGGGTGACTTGTTCATCTCCTACAACCTCTAAAAGCCCTAACATTTGGAAGGACAAACGAAACTAGGATGCAAGTTTTACTATTTTTAGAGATACCTTACGAAATAGTTGAAGCAAAATGAAAATATTACCAGCCTCCAAAATCCAATTTACACAATTGACAAACACTGAAAAAACTATCGACTGTTTCGATAATATTTTAATCTTCAATTAATCAACTTTGGAGTTGTAAATTAATGAGATGTAAGTATACACTGCAATCAATCTTATTCAAAAATCGAGGGAAAATATGCATATGGATGTGAGGAAATCTATGCATGTAGATTATATTTGATATATAAAATGATGGATGTGATAATATGATAATAATTTTATATTATGTTTAGTTTGTATCTAATTGAAAAAAATAAGATTTCAAGGAGAATTATATTTTTTTAGTATAGGATAATTTAATCCTCCCAAAGTAAAAAAAAATATTTTTAATTTATGAAATTATACATATATATTTTATTATACTCTTAAAAATTATATCAATAATTTAAATTTTATAAACTTTAAAAAAAAATAATTTTGATCAATAAATAAATTATCTTATCTTAATCCTTGTGTCACATGTTGGGTGGGCGCACTAAAAATCGAGGCTCGAGCACCTGTGATCAAGACTCAAGCTCTAAGGACTGTTGCAGGGGGTTGGCACAATAAGAATGGGAGAAGTGTCCAAACCACCCACATTGCATGCAGGCCGGCCCGCACAGCTAGGACCATGCCTATAACATGCCCGCATTGCACCTAGGTTGACCCAAGGGAGCTTAGCCAATCCAAAATCTTTCAGAGGCATCCAAGATCAATAGCATTTAGTAAAAGGATTTGGTTGACTTTGAGAATCAAGAGGAATTTTATGCAATCTGTATAATAATGTGTAATTTTTAATTTTTAAGAATCTTGTAAATTCCTTGATTTTAGGAGATAACTATAAATAGAGTTGGGGTCATCAATCATAAATAGAGGGTCATCCTACCTTCATTTGTATGTTATCAGACACACTGTTCTTAATAATACATTGTATATTTTAGCATTCTTTGTGTTCTCTTTAATTTACGTATTTTACCTTTTTAGTTGTTTGTTTGCTCACAGGTTTGGTTCATAGGGTGACTTAGACCTAAGTAACACATTTTTGACCTAAGGAACACATTTCTGGTCTAAGACTGCATGGATTCTGAGTCAGAGGTTGAAGACCATGACACTTGCACAAACATAAGATATGATTACTTTATTTAATTTAATCATATTTATAACATCATATTATCTTAACTTATCATAATTTTGTGTACCAAATATAACCGTAATGGATATAACAACATCGGCAATAATATGCTTATTGAAAGATTAATCTCCTTAGACATTCATTTTATTAATCATACATTGGTATTATTGCAATTTTCCCTATTTAACAGTTATTCGTGCGTTTAGCACTTATTGAAAGAGTTAAAGAGGCAAAGATAAATGAGACTACTAGACGGTTTCGCATACTGCTCGGTAGAACTTAGATGAACTCCAATCTTTCTTGTCTTTAAAATAAGTTTGATAGCATTTCTCTATCACCGAATCAATTTTTCCTTCATTTTATTTCCTGCATCCGTCGGTAATGAATATGATCAGGAAGATAAAAATTTTCATTTCATAGTTGATGTAGAAAATTTATATATGAGATTAAAAAGGGAAAGAGAATACCTGATGATGCGTTTTGGCCCATCTAGATCTTCTTCCCTTGCAAGGTTGTGATGATTTGACACAGCGGCTGATTATAAATAAAAGCAATGAAACTAACTAGCAGCAAGGGAGAGTATATTGCAATGCATAGCTTGAAGCTAAGCATTAGAAAAAACTTCCATCAAAAGTAAAGGACCCTGCAATTGCTATAGCTTCATTATAAAAAATATAAACTGTTTAGGTGGACAATATGTATCCAAACACTCCAAAAAATTATGCTTTATATCTGTTGGGATTTTAAATTTACCCTTCTTAATCTTTGAGACGAATTGAAACTATTGTTCTTTTTTTTTTTTTTTTTTAAATTTGCTGTTCGACCGGTTATATGACATTTTTGGTTTGAAACACATGGGTATTCCCTTTGTAATTTCCCAAAAAACATAAACAAGTTGGTTCTGGTGTTTAACAATAATTTGATGACCTTCTGTCTCATGCTCATGTGTATGACATGTTTGGTCCATAACTAATTCAGTGCCGAAGCAACTATAATATAAGCTGATTTTCTTTGTTCCCTTTGTCTTAGGCTTTTGGTTTATGCACTGTCATTTCGAGCCTCATGCGATATGGGGAATAAGCACCGTCATGATAGTGAAGAATGGAACCACCAATGAAGCCAGCATTCGGCCTCCCCTGATTATATGCCCCCTTCTTCAGCATCCTAATTTTATACGCTTCTACTTCTATTTATTCTTGGCAAGTTCAATATTTCAAGCATGTGGTTAGAATAAAGTACTTTCAAAGCTTGAAATGAGCTTTTCAATTTGGTCATATTAAAATGGTTCATTGGAGGAATCTTCATTTGTAAACAAAAGTGATTGTTTTTCTTGGAACTCTCCCACTGTACCATTTGAATGATTAATTATTTGTTGTTTTGTATAAATTTATGAAGTTCAAATTCCAACATCATGAATTTCGTTTATATTTTTCATCAAAATCTAGCCCCAACCCCTGGCAATTCAAGCCTTGTTCGATTAATTTTAGTCTCAAACAAATCACATTGTAGTCTATCAAAGAAAAGTTTTAATCATTCTTGCAAAGTCTGGAGCGAATAGAACACAAAATCTGATCATGTTGCAAAACTATTTTGTTACCATAAATGCTAGTGGCTGTCTTTGTTTGTTATTCAGTATATATTCTGAACTTTTGTTTGGGTATTATAGCAGCTTGTGTTTGCTGATATGCTTTCTTGCACTACATGCTTTTTCAATGAAGTGAATTTTGCCTTTGAAAAAAAAAAGAAATAAAAGAAAAAAAAATTCAACATTCAAACCTGATCCTCGTTCACAATAAAATAAAACAAACACGAATTACAGCTAACAAACAAATTTTTATTGGAAAAAGACAAATTACTTTCCACAGCTAGCTAGCATGCACGAATGATTTAGAGGGCGTTGAGATATAGTGGTTTGCCCTATTGAATCTCTTATTCGAGGAACAAATCTTATATCCTTTCCTTGGGATTCGAAACTAAAGTAATTACATCAAAAACCAGCTGTTGTGGTATATTGTACAATACCGGTGGTAATATGTCTACCAGAGGACGGTCGAGCAGTCATGTAATAATGGCCGAGATTTTGGTTTCCGCAGAACAAAACGTCGATTGTTTGGCCTGGGGCTAGTGTTAGAGAAGTGGCAAAAGAGCGTCTAGTGTAAGCCCCATTTTGTCCAACAATTGTGAAGCTGTGGTATGAGATGCCAAACACCATTGTTTCGTTGGCCACAGCATTTACTAAGCGAAGTAAGTAAATGCCCTCGTAGTCTACTTGTAGGCGATATGTTGTATCTGCAACAAGAAATAATCATGAAACTATTGTCATTACAAAGGAAGCTTAACAACAAAAATATATGTTAGCATTTATAAAGTAAAGCAAAATACGCATGGGTTTGTCTCTGTTTCTATCTGATTGTAGCATTTACTAGTAATTTTCTTCACTCAATGAGCAATAAATAAAAAGCAAACAACAAAATTCAAAATTATACTCAAAAGTGACATAAATAAATCGCAGCATATATACTCTAATGAGTTTTGGCCCAAAAACATTCTTATAATTTGCTATAACTGCAATACTGCCCTCATTTCTGAACCCATGGAGACATAGAAAATAAATTAGTACAACAGAGTAAAAATTAAGTTAATATAAGTTGTCATTATTATCCTACGGTGTTGGGATTTTTTTTGCCGATCGGATTTTCTTAGACTTGTATAATTTGCCAAAGCCTTTTTAGGACAATGAGAATTTGGATTTATCATCTATTCTCTTCCCCTCTATCTCTGTTTCCTAGAAATCAAGCCATCCACTTTCAAGTTTTCGTAGGGAAGAAGATGCTAAAATTCATGTCGTACATATTTACTGTTTGATATAAACAACAGTGCATATATACGTACCGTTGCTGCATCCATATGTTTCTCCAGGATGGCCGTTGATTGTGTAAGCATCTGCTTGGCCAGGAGCAATGGTTTCATTTGCTTCCGTTAACTCTTGTCTGAACCATGGTCCTGGAATATGCCAAAGAGTTGTCATAAGCTTTAGAATATATATATATAAACAAAAATAGAAGATTTATATATGATCGTATTGATCATACCAAGTATAATTGTTTCATCTGAAGTAGGCGCAGGAAAAGGATAATCTTCATTGGCAGCAGGCAAAATGATAAAGGCGCCATGGACGGTGGCACTGGCCCAGGCACTCTTAGCGTGCCACCACAGAGTTCCTATTTCATCGTTTAATTCGATCTCGTAAGTGAAGTTTCCACCAGGTTGAATCAAATCATCTGAACCATCAAATGAATCCTCAACGCCCTCCCTACCGATGTTCCAAGAAAGAACAATCCACAAAAAAAAAAAAGTAATTGATTATTTATCTCATCACAAAATAGTAGCTGGCAAATTGAAAAGGAGAAGGAGAGCAAGAGGAAGTACCACTCCATGGAAACAGCATGGTTTCCTTGATTGTGGACATTGACAAACACTGTGTCCCCTCTACGAACCCGAATCTCTGGCCCTGGAAAGCTGCCGTTTACTGTCAAGATGCGTTTTGTGCTACACAGCTTTGTGAACTCGGATTCTTGTAGCTGCAACCAGAAATACGAAACAAACACAAAATGAAAATTCATCTGTACTCTAATTAATTAACAGAAAAGATAAGGGGAAATTAGAAGCAATAACTTACAATAAATTCATAATGGTGGACATCAGCCCTAGAAAAGAGAAGGACATTCAGAAACAAAAGCCCCGATAACCAAATAAAGCCCTGTTTTTGAGAAACCATTTTATGCATCTGTGTTCTTCAGTTCTCCCCTCTCTATGCAATCTTTTGCTTTTTATCCATTTTCCTATTTATAAAAGCAGCCATTGTCCACGCGTAAATCATTTGCTTTGGAGGTGAGTTATTGACTAGAAAAAACCCAAGGTTTTGAAATTACTGTACCTAATCAGAAATTCAAAATCAAAATCCATACAATAGAAAATTTCCAATTTTCTAGAAACATAATCGAAAGCCAAGTCATAGTCAAATTCGATAAAATATTTTACGTGCTCTTTCGTCCCAACTAACTGGTCGTTGAAAATGAAGTCTGATTATGAAGGTAAGACAAGTTACGTGCAAAGTCATAGTCAAATTTGATAAAATATTTTGCGTGCTCTTTCGTCCCAACTAACTGGTCGTTGAAAATGAAGCCTGATTATGAAGGTAAGACAAGTTACGTGGAAAAATACTTTTCTTTTACCAGATGGACGAAAACAAAAGAGTTGACGGCTATAAATTTTGATTATCATTTTTTTTTTTAATAATACAAGCAACAACAGAGACTGTAGCAGCCTCTTTCTGGATTTCCTGGATTCCAAGTTTATCAATTAGGATAGAAATTACATACACATTCTAATTTCTTTAACTGTCAAAATTCAAACATGCCAAAGTCATTAACAAAGTATTACTCTAACTGTATCTGTAATAAGATAGACGAGGATGGCAATGCCGGTTTTTGTTATGTGTGTCTCTGGATGTCTTCTCTGCAAAAATCCAGAGTCAGAAATGGTGTTCTCCAACATGTAACCATTTTCTGCAATTTTCAATTTTGGCGTTCAAATTGGGAGAGACAAAGTTAGTAGTTAGAACTAAAAAAAAACTTGATCGTCCAATGTCAAACTTGAGAAAGCAACAGCAAAACTCTTTAATATCATTATTATGTTCACGACAACACAGAACTTACTGAGATTCAAGGCAAATCCCAACAAATCCTCCTTGACTTGAATCTCCAAACACTTCAACAGTATCTGCAAAGCTAACATGCTTACCTTTCTTCTTTTCTTTCATCACAGGCATTCCAGCAACTGAGCTTCCATCAAACATGTACAAATGATTGACCCTATTCCCTTGTAGAATCACACTACCATTCTTATACATTTTCAACCAATCATTACTACCATAAAATGTGTACCCCCGAGAAGCTAACTCACCCAAAGCAATCAAATTGTAGTGACAATTTGGTACATACCTTACATGACGAAGTGTCCTAATAACACCATTGTGAGATCTAAGGCGAACACTCCCAATGCCTTGAATCTGCACCTTTTCTTTGTTAGCAATCACAATATCCCCATACTTTTCATTCTCATTCAACTCCACAAAGCAGCTCCTATCATTGCAAACATGAACTGTAGCAGCTGAATCTAAAACCCAACCTTTGTCACTTTTCAAAGTCTGGGTCTCATCCACACAAGTTGTCAAAACAACATCATCATCATCAGACAAAATAGCAGCAGTATCACTCTTTTCTTCATCTGATTTCTTCTCATCATTCGCCCTTTTGAAAGCAGCCATATCCCTTCTCAGCTTCCTGCAGCGCACTTGGATATGTCCCTTCTCACCACAATAATAACATTCTACATCACTGTAATCTCTGTCTCTTGACTTGGATCTCCATCTTGATCCATCAATCCTCTTTTGAGTCCTCCCTCGATCAAAACCCTCTACAGCTAGTGTACTCCCCCCAGGTGATGAGTTCTGAGCTCCCATAAACCTTTCATTCTCACGCAACAGGGCAGTCACATCATCCAACTTCAAAGTAGACCTGCCTACCAACACAGTCTGAACTAAAGGCCTATAAGACTTGGGCAAAGATGACAGCAAAATTAAAGCCTTCTCTTCATCTTTTAACTCATCAAAGTATAAAAAAAAAGTTTTTAAATTAAAATTAAATAATTATTAAAGTTTTTATCATTTTATTGCAATTAATTGAATTATCAAAAATATATATTTTCATTCAATTGAACTTTTATTAGATAAAAATTTTTTCTATCCCAAAAATAATTGAGAGAATATATTACATAGTATATATTATGACTCAAATTTAGAATTTTCACCCACGATTCCTTATACCATTAGTTTGAGGTAAAGCTTGAATGCCACGTACATATAACGAAGAATTTACTAGTTTAGCAAAGTGATTAAGTTAGGATAGAAAGACCAAAATGATACAAATTGGTCAATGTTTAAACTTGTATACGTTATATTGTTCAATGATCAGCATAAAAGAGAAGGGGAGAAAATTCTCATAACATTAAAGTCAAAAACAGACAGTTTGTACCTAAGATTTGTATGCTATTTCAGACTTGGATCAGTTCAAATGCCTTGTGCTTTTACTTTCTTGAATAAGAAAGGAAAGTTTGTATCATTTCTCGTTAGAGCAATTTTAGACAACGCATCTAGAAGACCAAAGCATTTTCATCATTCACGTATCTCAATCATGCCTTTACCGACAAACTTAGCTAATAAATATTACATACTAATAAAGTCGTATACGGCTTGCTTTCAGTCTTTCAAAGGATAATCACCAACTTTTTTTTTTTTAATGCAATGGACTTTTCTTTTCTACTTTTGCTTGAATTCTTTGATTTGAGCTTGTTTGTCAATTGTTTCAGTGGAAATTCTTTCGTAACATACCAACCTGCTTTGGTTCAATGCAGCTAAGTATACAAATGTTTTATTTGGTAAAATCAAGAATAATAACATTATTAAATTATATTTATATATAAACATTTAGTTCATTTGATTGATGCATAATTCATACTCAAATAAGAGACTGAATCTTTTTTTCTCGAACATAAAAAAGAAAACATTAATTAGATTCAATTCAAACATAGTTTAATGGTTTTTATCTATTAATAAAAGATATGATCACTTGCAAGTTATTAATTTTTTGTTGAGATTTTTCATTAATAAATATATAAGTTGTATTCTTATTGGAATTATTGTCTTTGTATGAACTATAGACAATTTCATTTTGTTGAGTTAACAATAATTTTGAATACTTAATTTGTTTTTATAAAAAAATTTTAAATTATAACAAATTTTGTTCTAATTTTCACCGTCAATAAAATATTCATATAAAAAAAACTAACTTAACACAATCTTTTCTTTTTTCTCATTCGCTATTTGAGAAAAGTGTATAGAAATTTTGTAACTTAATTAAAATATTATTGAACAAGGACAGTAGTGAACAACATGATTCCCAAATTGGGATAACAAGATGTATTTAAATTATTTATTAACTTTAAAACAAGCATTTTCCACAACCATAACTAAGTTAATGATAACTACTTTAGAAAAAAAAAATTAACATAGGCTGCTTTACATTGTCAGATGCCGGGGGCTGCCACCTGAAATTAATATAATACCATAGGCTGACTTTTACATGGACGGATGATTAATATTGAAAAAGCTATATACATAAAAACAATCTGAATGACCAAAACTTAATTAATTAAAAACACGAAATGCGATTTATTATTTGTTGACTGAATGCAATTTTTATATGCTAGGTATGTATTATGGAACATTCATTTTTTTTTTTTTGCCAAGTCAATACATTTTATACCTTCCACGAAGAAACTTAAGGAGCACGCACTTTCTTCCTATAAATTGTTGGATTTTATGACCCAAAGCAAGAAATTAAGGGGAGAACTAGGAACACATTAGAGAGAAGAGTTTGAGAAAAAAAAGAAATGGGTTTATTGAAGCAAGGTTTTGTGCCATGGTTGGTAGGGGTTTTGTTTCTAATTAGCCTGCTCTTTTGCAGGGCAGACGTCCATCACTATGAGTTCTTTGTATGTGCCTTTTTCTTTACATACTCATATGTAATTGTTAATTCTTTCTTATAGTTATTTTGGAATTTTAAGTTTAGTGATCTTGAACTTGATATATATATATATATATATATATATTAAACCTACATACTTAATGACAAAATACTAAATTACACTTTTTTGAAAATTTATTATTCTTATTCTTTTAATATTTCAAAATATTAAAAAAATGATTTTTTTTAATAGTAGTGTTGACTATTGAGATTTCATTTGGTGGTGGTTCTTGGTTGCAGGTGCGAGAATCAAACTTTACGAAGCTCTGCAACACAACTACACTGCTGGTCGTAAATGACAGCTATCCTGGGCCTGAGATTCGGGTTCACAGAGGTGACACTGTCTACGTTAATGTCCACAATCAAGGAGACTATGGCTTTACCATTCACTGGTAATTATGAACTTAATTTCTTGCTTTCGTCCAATATTAATTTCACAAGGAATTGAAATCTCAAGGCGTTTAGAATAAATTAATGTTGCAGGCACGGTGTGAAACAACCAAGAAATCCATGGTCAGATGGTCCTGAATTCGTGACGCAGTGTCCGATTCAACCTGGAACAAACTTCACTTACGAAGTCATATTATCTGATGAAATCGGAACTCTGTGGTGGCATGCCCACAGTGACTGGACTCGTGGCTCCGTTCAGGGTGCCTTTGTCATTTTACCGGCTGAGAATGAAACTTATCCATTTCCCACGCCTGATGCTGATCAAACAATCATACTTCGTAAGAATATCTAATTTTCAACGTTTCTTTTTTTTTTTTTTCCGTTTTTCATAATTGACTGGATTATTATATTCCATTGATATCATACTAGTTTAAAAATGATTAAAATCAGTAACAGTCCTCTCTTTCGATTTTCTTGTTTATATTATATGAATATTAATCAGTTTCATTATATTGACAGAATCATGGTACAATGGAGACTACAAGCAAATTATCGATGAAGCACTTGCAACCGGTACTTCTCCACGCCAACCAGATGCTTACGCTATCAGTGGACATTTAGGAGACACATATGGATGCCCCAACGGTATGTTCTAGCATAAAATCAGGATCAATTATTGCTCGTAGTTTTTTATTTTTCAGTTAATGTAATTTACCTCTTAAAAGTTCTTCTAGTAACAAATTTATTAATATTACATACTGCAGATACAATATTCCGTATGCAAGTTGATTACGAGAAGACATATCTTCTCCGCATTATCAATGCTGCAATGAATGAAGAGAAGTTCTTTGCCATTGTAAACCACAACCTCACAGTCGTTGCACAAGATGCTTCCTATGTTCAAAGGTTTACAAGTGACTATTTATTGATAAGCCCTGGACAAACCATGGATGTTTTAGTCTATGCAAACCAAAACATTGGCCAGTATTACATGGCTACTAGGCCTTTCTCCGATAGCGCTGCTCCACCTATCGACAATATCACTACTGGTGTTTTTTATTATACAAACAGTGTGGGTGGATTGAATGCTTCCTTAATAACGCTGCCTGCAATAAACGATGCAAATGCTTCAAATAATTTTGTCAGCCAAATTCGGAACGCAAACGTCACACAGAATCCACCATTGAAGGTGCCGACGGATATTGATAGACGAGTCTACATCGCAATCGCCACAAACAACTTGCCTTGCAACACCTCAGAATGTCTCAATTCTGTAAGATTTGCTGCAAGTTTGAACAATGTCAGCTTTCTTTTCCCACGTATTGACATTCTCCAAGCATACTACAACAGGTATATATGCATAGTTTCCATCTTATTCGATTAAAGTTAATCCATTTTTATATTTTCAACTTGTAGTAATTTTGGACTACTGTGGATTTTTTGTCCTTGGCTTTTCTAACAAATCTTGGTACCATTAGAAAAGTAGTTTCATTTATAAAGGCTAATTATTTATATAATTTTTCGTATATTCCTATGACAGGAGCACCAATGGTGTTTTCACCGAAGATTTTCCCCTTGAACCACCAGTATTCTATGACTTCACTGGAAACTTGACTGTTTTAGGAAGGGCTGCTGATGAAGGCACAAGGGCTGTCGTGCTAAATTATGGTGAAGCAGTTGAGATTGTGCTCCAAGCAACCGAGCTTGGTGCTGGTGGAAGTCATCCAATTCATTTGCACGGTTTTAGCTTTTATCGGGTCGGAACTGGTTTTGGAAATTTTAACAATGTGACTGACCCAAGCTCTTACAACCTGGTTGATCCACCACTCATTAACACTGTCCACGTTCCTCGTCGAGGATGGGCTGCCGTCAGATTTTTTGCAAATAATCCTGGTAAGTTTTCATTCAATTGAAAAAAAAAAACTCTTCTTCCTTTTTTTTTTTTTAAACAAAGTTATTAATTGATATAATTTGTATAAACGTATATATTTTCAGGGGTGTGGTTTATGCATTGTCATTTTGAAAGGCATAGTAGTTGGGGTATGGACACTGTTTTCATTGTGAGGAATGGAACCACCGCAGAAACAAGCATCCTTCCACCGCCACCTGGCATGCCTCGGTGTCCTGGAACCTAGAAGTAGGATAACTTCTGGATCTATATTTTTAACAACCAAATCGATCAAAAAATAATGTTAAATAAGATTCTCATTTGTTGAAATGTAACTTAATAATCCATACATTATTTATGCAATCATTGCAGAGAAGATTTCATTTTTAAGACTACTTGTTTGAATTCATCTTATTTTGACATTTATATAGTATGATTCTGTTTAATTGGAAGTAAGGCAGAAGTATTCTTCCGACGACACTCTAAGCTCTGTCTCACCAAAAATAGAATAATGAATTTTTTGTTATTAGAGGTTTTTATGAATCGAATCATATTTATATTTAATATTAATAATTTATTTATTTATTCAAATTAGATTTAGTCTAATATTTTGAATTTTAAAATTTTTTTAAATCCGATCCAAATTTAAAAAATAAATCACAAACTCATTTATTAAACTTAATTTATATAATAAAAATTAATTTTTTAAAAAAAATAAAAAATAAAAATTCACACACACATATATATTTATATAATTATAATATTTTAATTATATATATATATTTCATTTAGACCTAATCGAGTAATACTCAAACTTTAATTTTTTTTATTTAAGATTTAATTTAAAATTTAAATAGACCTAAAATTTATGCTCAAAATTATTTAACAAGTTTTAAATTTTTATTCAAATACTCTTAAAACTTGATCCGACCTTTAAACTTAAATAAATAATTCAACTCTTGAATCTATTGTCACTTCACTTTATTGTTTTTTATGATTAATGACGCAAAGATAAAGTTAAAATGCATTGACATCTTCATAGTAATCATGAAAACAATGAGTGGGAAAGAGAACACAATTTGTACACTACTACAATAAACTCCAAATCATTCTATTAATATAAGACGATCCAAGTTTCAAACATATGACTAATGCAAGGAGCTACAAACAGCAGCCCAGAAAAAGTATCATCACTTGATAAGAGAAATTGACTTCTAAATGTTTTGACATGTTCCCCAATCTATAACTTTAGTTTCATCTTCAATTTATGACATAATTTAGTTTTTGTTTCCCTCCCAAAAATTAAGAGAAGTAGAGTATAAAAATTATGATACAAGTTAGAATTTTCTTTTATGGTACAGATACAATTTAGAATTTTCACCAAAGCTACAACTAACCATTTTGATGTAAACACTAGTGTGAATGGCATGTAAGGAGGGATTTTACTGGTTTAGCCATGTGATCAATTAATTAATTAAAATGGAATCAACAGTTTTGTGATAGGTTGATAAAATATTAAATTTTTAATTTTAGTAGTCATGTTAACAATTTATGTAATCTGTTGATAAATTATTAATTATATATTTAGTGATGACTCCACAGTAAGAATAAGAAAAATATAATCACATTTTAAAATATTTTTATAGGTTAATTATTAGTGGAATTGATATATTTAGTGTTTTGTAAGACGTCAAGATTCAATACTTTAAGGTTATTTGGTAAATCATTTATGAGTTTTTTTTTTTTTATTTTTTTAATTTCTTAATTGCTTCATGGCTTACTAATTAGCGGTTAAAAATTTAAGTTTCAAAATTTATAAATTTTTAATAATTAATTGATGAATAATTATTGATCACACTATTTCAATATTAAAAATTATTTTTTATTATTTTATTATTAAAAAAATTAAATTTGTATTATTTCAATAAAAAATCATTTTAAATACTAATTAATATTAATGTATTATATCATTCATGAATGCACGTGTAAAAAAAAAAACTAATTGCATGAAAAGTCAGAAAACATGTATTATTAAACTTTGTCTTCTATTTCAAACTTTGACGGAGTTATTGATTTTTCAAACCTGGATGGATTCAATGGTAAAACTAAGTTTCTTATTCAAGAAAGTTGCAATTAAATTCCGAAGAAAATTTTCTCCAAAGGAAAGCTAAATCATTTTTTTTATTATTATAGCAATTTTAGAAGCGTTAAGATTTTAAGATCAAAGTCTTGGCTAAAATAATTTTTTTTAAGAAAAAAAAAACCTAATTTAAGACCAAAGCATTTTATAATTGTATGCCAATATTCATGTGTTTACTGACAAATTAGCTAACCTGAAAATGGTGAGTAAATCAAGTCGTACTTTGCTATCATCTCAAAGTAATCAACTTCAAAGGGATAACCATGAGCTTTTCTCTTTTATTTTTGCTCGAATACTTGCTTTTTTTGTTCAACTGCTTCAGCATACTTCTTTCTTAACAAACCAACCTTAATTTGGTCCGTCTACACCTAATACACGCTTTCGTGGTAAAATCAAACTAATTAGTTAAATTCAATTCAAATTGGTTGAATGGTTTTATTTGTTTGATAAAAGATATCACTTCATAAAAAAATTTTATAAATTTTTTCTTGAGATTTTTCAGTAATAAATATAAAAAGGAAATTATATATCGATAATTATTGACTTTGTTTGAACTATTCAGAAATTTATTTATTTTTATTATTATTTAGTTAGAAATTTTAAATATATATTTAATTTATTTTTATAAAAAAGTATAAGTAAGAAATTAACTTTATGTAATTTCTATCCTCAATGAAATGTTCTTATATACATCCAAGACTTATATGCGATCTACTTTCTCTTTTTCTATTTCTCTTTGACAATAACGTATTATAATAGAGGAATAGGGTGGCTTTTACCTGGTTTTAGGTGTATAATATTCAAATAGATTCTGTGGGCTGCTACATGCAATATTCAACAGGAAATCTAATTTCTTTGGCAGATTATTATTATTATTATTATAAAAAACTCTGCACATCTATATATATAAATATATATATATATAACATGATCTGGATATACATGCTCGAAACTTAATTACAAAAGCGACATGTAATTATTATTAATTTGTTGACAAAATTTGGCACATTCTTGCCAGTCAATAATTTATACTCCCAGGAAAAAACTCAAGAGCACATGTACACTTTTCTTCTATGAATTGATCATGAATTTGTAATAACCAAACGATCACAAATTAGGGGCGAACTGAAGAACACATTAGGAGAGATCAGGAAAGTGATACATATCTTGAGAGACGAGTTTTGGGAAAACAAAAAAATGGGTTTATTGAAGCAAGGTTTTTTTTGTCATGGTTGTTTGAGGTTTTGTTCCCAAGTAGCCTGCTTCTTTGCAGGGCAGATGTCCATTACTATGACTTCTTTGCAAGTGCTCGTTAATTTCCTCTAATTAGGTAAACATTAATTAGGAATTTCTGTTTTTTTCAACGTTTAATATTCTTATCATTACTTTATAAATAGTTTTTTCCTTAAACTTGGTAAAGAAGGAAAGTATCTATTGGAGTTTTAGGATGAGTATTCTTCAACCAGTTGATATGAAAATGATAACTTTGTCCTCCCACTTTTAATTCCAAAAACTTAATTTACTAGATGTAGTGATATATACTACATATTTGGTCTAATAATTAATAAGCAAGGTTTTTTACTCCAAAAAATCATCGCAAAGCGCATGATAATGGTGAAGACTGGCATTGTTACTTCGTTGCTGGTTATTCAGATGGCAAAATGATTGTTTAATTAATGGATTGCAGGTAAGAGAGTCAAACTTTACAAAGCTCTGTAACATAAAGACGATGTTGGTCGTAAATGAGAGTTATCCAGGGCCAGAGATTCGGGTTCAAAGGGGGGATACTGTGTTTGTTAATGTCCACAATCAAGGAAACTATGGCTTTACCATTCACTGGTATATTACTGATTTAACTCTCTTTGTCTCTCATTTGTTGCTTTCATCCAATATTATTAATTCAATCAACCTCAAGGCCTTTGAAAAATTTTCTGCCATAGGCACGGTGTGAAACAACCAAGAAATCCACGGTCAGATGGCCCTGAATACATAACGCAGTGCCCAATTCAACCATGAACAAACTTCACTTGCGAAGTTATATTATCTGATGAAATTAAAACCTTATGGTGGCATGCTCACAGTGACTGGACTCGTGGCTCAATCCATGGCGCCTTCATCATTTTGCCAGCTGAAAATGAAACTTATCCATTTCATACGCCTTATGCAGATCAAACAATCATACTTGATATGGATATCTTTTCAATTTTTCAATTTTTCACAATTGACTTAAATTATTTTCTACGACATGATCAGCATGGTAAAAAAAAATGATAAGAATAGGAACAGTCCACTTTCTTGTGTCTTCTTTAAACTATACATGGAAAACTTAATTACGTTTCTTTATTCTATTGATAGAATCATGGTATAATAGAGATTACAAGGAAATTATTGATGAAGCACTTACAACCGGTCTTCCCCCGCCACAGCCTGATGCTTACGCTATCAATGGGCATTTAGGAGACACATATGGATGCCCCAATGGTATGTACGCCAAGCATTCGTACAATTATACTAGCGTTCAAATGATCATGGTCAACTTACCCAACCATTTGTTTCTAGATTTGATTCTTTTTTTTTAAATAATATAGTCAAGGATATGCTCAAGTTTCATGAGAATCTGAATTTATACCATGCATAAGTTGAAGAAAATTCATATAATTACTTGTTTCAGATACAATGTTCCGTATGCAAGTTGATAACGAGAAGAAATATCTTCTCCGCATTATCAATGCTGCAATGAATGAAGAAAAGTTCTTTGCCATTGCAAACCACAGCCTCACAGTCGTTGCACATGATGCCTCCTATGTTCAAAGGTTTACACGTGACTATATATTGATAAGCCCTGGACAAACCATGGATGTTTTAGTCTATGAAAACCAAAACATTGGCCAGTATTACATGGCTACTAGGCCTTTCTCCGATGGCGCTGCTCAACCTAACGACAATATCACTACTGGTGTTTTTCATTATACAAACAGTGTGGGTGGATTGAATGCTTCCTTAATAACGCTGCCTGCAAGTAACGATACAAATGCTACCAATAATTTTGTCAGCCGAATTAGGAACGCAAACGTCACACAGAATCCACCATTGAATGTGCCGACAGTATTGATAGACGAGTCTACATCGCAATCGCCACAAACACCTTGCCTTGCAACACCTCAGAATGTCTTGATTCTGAAAGATTTCTTGCAAGTTTGAACAATGTCAGCTTTCTTTTCCCACGTATTGACATTCTCCAAG